TCAAAGGTTGTTAGCATCTAAATAGTGGTATCAAAGGTTGTTAGCATCTAAATAGTGGTATCAAAGATTGTTAACATTCAAATAATGGTGTCAAAGATTGTTAGCATTCAAATAATGGTGTCAAAGGTTGTTAGCATCTAAATAGTGGTATCAAAGGTTGTTAGCATCTAAATAGTGGTATCAAAGATTGTTAACATTCAAATAAATAATGGTATCAAAGATTGTTAGCATTCAAATAATGGTGTCAAAGATTGTTAGCATTCAAATAATGGTGTCAAAGGTTGTTAGCATCGAAAGATTGCTGCTGCTGATACTGTGAGTTGTAATTGGAATACTGTTGGTAGAGAGAATTTCTATTTGACCAGATTATTGGCAAAAGTTGTTAGCATTCAAAAGACTGCTGCAAAAATTACGGTTGGTATTGAGAGCTGATGTGTGGAGTTTCGAGAGTTAGTATTGAGGACAAATATTGGTATTGAGAATTGCTGCTCACATCAAACGTTTTGGTATTTAAAAAAAAAAAGTTTTTTATACTATCATAATGTATCAGTGCTGTATTTTTTCAAAATTTCTAAGCTATCTTCAAGTTATTGATTGAATTAAAATTTTTTTTTTTTAAACCCATTAAACTTGTGAAGGAATTTTTTTTTTTTTTTGCAGAAAAATTATTCAATTAATTTAGATCCTCAAGGTTGGGGTATAGCGAATATTTCGGATGGTATTGATTATTGCGAACGTTTTGGTTCGGAAATCGAACATTCGAAAATTAGCCATTTTGAGATGACAAAATTTTGCAAGTTTATTTCTATTGCTGGACAAGTAATTTTTTTTTTTTTTTAAATTAATCGGCAATATTTTGAGTCGATAAATATTTATTCAATATATAATTCACGATTAGCTAAAGAAACTACTAAAAACTTTAAATTCGAAAAAACCACACTTAAGATATTTTTATTATTTGACACCTGATTATGCTCAAGAATGGATTAAGTTGTTATCATTAATTTTTAACTTATTTTTAACAAATAGAAGAAAGAGAGAGCGATTTTTTTATAGTTTGGAGTGGAAAACTTTATGCTATGAAATATAAAATAAATAGCTGAGATTTTTATTGATATGGGTTTAAATTTTGCAGATAATGATATATTTAATTATTATTAAAATGTTATTTATTACTTAACCATTTGGAATCTGTAGGTTTTTATTGATATAATGCAATCATCATCAAATTGTGCAACGCAACCATCACTGGAATATCGTGCATCGTTGAAATTTAGCACAGGTTATAATAAATTTTCATTGGGAAATCTTGTAAATTGTAAGTTTCGGTTTCTTTTCTTTTTGTTAATTTTAAAATTTAAAATAAAAATTGACAAACTAAAATTGACTAAAACTGTGTTAGCATTGCTAAATTTAAGACAAAAATGTTAAGATGAATTTACTGGCAAAATTTAATCTACTGTAAAAAAAATAAAAAAGTATGTTTTTTTTTTCTGGTACAGATCAAGAATATTTCAAAATTACATGAACACTTTAATATTCATACTATTTATCCTCATTTTTAATCTATATATTTATATATATCGTATTCTCAAGAAAAAAAAATTGTGATATGAAATAATTAATAAATCAAATGCAAAAATTGAAAGTTTTTTTTTAAAAAATGTTTTCAGCTTCTAAGGTTACAAGTATGCTTCATCGAGAGAACCAATTATTTATAGCATTTTATGTTGAACAAACTTCAAACGATGATATTATCAATCGGAGTATTATCGTTGAATTCGATATTTGCTCACCACATAATCCTAAAAAGTAATATTTCAATTGTATATATATAAATTAAATAGAAATAAAATTTCATTTAAACTTAATTTTAAATTAGATGAACTTTTTTAGTTGTTTTAACAAATTAATAAATAAAAATCATTTACTAAAATTGTACGACAGTTACAGATTTTTACTTTATGAAGAAATAATTAGAATTTTCAGAATTTTACTTTGTCATAACGAAGTACGATGTTTTTGCATGTCACCGGATGATGCTCGTGCTGTATTTGTTGGCCTGGCAAGTTAGATTATTATTTTATGCTTAATTAGTGCTAAGATTTTTTTTCCCCCCATTAAACAAACATATAAATAGCAAAACCAATTTAATTTAAGTAAAATTAAGAAAATTAATAAAAATTTCAATAAGGAAGATAAAAATGAAGAGGAAGGAAAATTTGCATCATACTAAATAATTTTTTTTCTCAATAAAATTCATAAATTTAACTCGAAAAATTTATGAATTTTATTCAAAAAATTCAATTCTATAATTGAATGAAAATTCTTGTAATCGGTGTTATTTTGCTATTCTTTTAGCCTAAATTTATGCAATTAATGATGAAAAAAAAAATTACTGAATAAAACAATTGATTGGTGAATTTATGCAATTAATCATTATGAAAAAAATTGCTCAAATAAAACAATTAATTAATGAGTTGATGCAATTAAGTATTATGAAAAAAGAAAAATAATTAATGAATAAAGCAAATTAATCAATGAAGTAAGTTTACGTCTTTTTTTTTTCGATATCCTAGAATGATGGTAGTTGTTTGGCGTATGATTTGAGAGAGTCAAATTCGTTGTTTCCGATTAAATTACTATGGGATGAAAATGGAAAAATGTATCCGTTAAGAACAGCAGCATATGATACATCTTTTAAAGCTCTAAGCAACAAAATGCTTAATGAATGCCATCAATTTGCTAT